CCGAACCCCTAAACCCCTAAACCCTAAACCCTAAACCCTAAACCCTATACCCTTAACCCTAAACCCCTAAACCCCTAAACCCTAAACCCTAAACCCTAAACCCACAACCCTAAACCCTAGACCCTAAGCCCCCTAGACCCCTAAACCCTAAACCCTAAACCCTAAACTCTAAACCCTAAACCCAAAGCCCCCGAAACCTGGCCTCCTCTTCGAAGGCTCCCTGAAGCCACGCCGCACCGAAGTCTCTGGGCGAATGCCGCGGAAGCGACTCGTCGGCCAAAGGGCCTCTTCTTTGAGGGGGGGTTTAGGGGTTTAGGGGTCTAGGGTTTAGGGTTTAGGGTTTAGGGTTTAGGGGTTAGGGGTTTAGGGTTTCGGGGCGTTCATCAGGGATTTAGAGGCTTTCTATCAAATTTCATAATGGCTTTGTAGAGTTGTTCGTAAGGGCATTTATAAGGGATTTTGAAGGTTTTTATGGGGTTTCATAATGGCTGTATAGAATTTCTACAAGGCTTTTGAGTGCTTTCTAGAATTGTTGATAAGGGGTTTATAAGAAATTGAAATGGCTTTCATAGGGTTTCAAAATTGCTTTATCGAGTTTCTATATGAAGGGCTGTAAGAGTTATATGCAGTTGTTTTTTTCCAACTTCTTTACGGGGTCTTGGACGGCAATTCTTCTAGGGTGACCAGCGGTTTTATGGAGCTTGGGCGGGGTGTATTTTATGGAAGTGTCAAGGCTTCAAAGGGGATTAATCAAAGTTTTCTGGAATTACTGGAGGGATCGAACATGATTTGAGGTCTAGGGCTTGCAGGAATTTGTAACCACTGTTCCCTATGAAACAACCAGAAGAATTCCGATAGTAGTGGGCACTCCTATGACAGCAGGAGGAACGAAAGAAGGTCTTATTGCGAACTCTGGATGGGCATCGGAAAAGGTTCATCTCCACAGGTTGTTTCAAGGTTTTGCGCCACTGGAGGATCTACACGTTCACGATTCTAGTTCCGTGCAGCTGTATGTTTACCTACCATGTTCTTCCGTGAATGACACAATGTGCGTGTGTGTACATATAAGCTCGCATTATATATGTATATACACAAACAAAAAACAAACAAACAAACAAACAAACAAACATACATACATACATCCATACATCCATACATCCATACATCCATACATCCATACATACATCCGTACGTACATACATACATACATACATACATACACTTTTGAATATATACATAGATGTGTATTACGTTCGTGTTTTATACTATATTTATGTGTTGTATAATCATATACATACACACAGGTACATTCATATACACAGTTATATACGTACATATATAGAAAGGCAGATAGATAGATAGGTAGATAGATAGATATAGATATAGATATAGATATAGATATAGATATAGATATAGATATAGATACAGATATAGATATAGATAGAGATAGATGGATAGACAAATAGATAGACAGATAGACAGACAGACATATGAG